CTCCTTGCCCGGCTTCGGCTTCGCATCCGCCTTCAGCTTCTCCAGCGAAGTGTCCAGCTTGGCCCGAGCGTCCTTGGCCTTCTCCTCTTCCGACCCCGCTCTGGCCGTCTCCCCCAGGGGTTTTGGCTTCTCCTTGGCCCCTGCCTTCACCTCCTTCCTCTCCACCTTTGAGGGAGCCTTCTCCTTGGGCGCCGGTGTCCCGCTGTCCGCCAAGCTGAGCTTGGAACCTGACTTCAGGCTCTCCTTGCTCTCCGCCCTCCTCGGCTTGAGCGGCTTTTCCCGGCCCCTTCAAGTCGTTCTTGGTGACCACGGGATACTTGAGGAACTCCAGGTGCTTCACCTTCTCCAACCCCTCCAGGATACGGCCCTGGGGGGTGCAGCCGGGGAAGAGGACGCGGATGATCTTCTCGGAGGGGCTGACGGGGTGCCAGACGAGCAGGGCGCAGACGGAGGTCAGGCACTGCAGCGGCAGCTCCTGCTCCTTGGGGTAGCTGTTTCCCGACCACTGCTGCAGGAGGAACTCCAGCTCCTTGCTGCCCTTCACGGGGTTCAGGATGTACATGTCCAACCGGCCCACTCCCATCTTCTGGAAGAGGATGGTGGGCTCCGCGCGGGGTCCCCTGTCCCGGGCCAGCGGGTTGGGACGGATGCCCAGCTTTTCCAGGTAGTGCAGGGTGAGGGCAGCCTCGTCGCAGCTCTTCAGCACCCGGGAATTGCCCTCGATGTCCTTCAGCTTCTCGGAGGCGTTGAGGAAGACGACACCCAGCTCCGGGGAGATGAGGTTCTTCGCCCAGTCCCCGTTGCCCTGCGAGCTCTGGGATGACGGATCCTCTTCCAGCTCGGCCAGCTTCCTCTGCAGCAGGCTGTTGACTCCGGGCAGGCTGTCCGTGCCCACGTGCGTCACCAGGATGGAGTCGATACGGTCCAGGTGCCGGACCAGCTTCCAGAAGGATGATTTGGGGTTGGAGCCTCCGTTGACCAGAACGTTGAAGCCGTTAACGGCGAAGAAAGCCGAGTCCCCTCTCCCGCCCGGGAAGATATAGCAGCAGGGCTTGGAGAGCTTGAGGAAGCCCACCATGGTGGGCGGCTCGAGGAGGTCAAAAGGGGACTGGGGGGGGCTGCAGCGACTCCGAGAGGTACTCCATGAACTCCTCCAGCCCCTCCATCTCCGGCAGGATACAGCCCGGGTTGTAGCACAGCTCGATGAAATCCTGGAGGTTGTGATGGTCCAAGCCCGAGTCCCTCCACACAGCCGGGCCTTGGCCGAGGGGTCAGCGGAGCTCAGGATGTCCCCTACCTGCGCAGGGAGGGGGACAGCTGGAGCTTCAGGTGGGAGGAGGCACCCAGGGCCAGAGACGGGCACCTCAGCCCACCCCCACCTCAGCGAGCGCA